TGGTATGACGTTGTAATTGAATATTCTTAATTTTGTTTGTATGGAGAGTTGACGGGAGGTCCAAACTGATTTTAGTTGGCCAAAGGCTCGCTGCGCCTTCCTGATCCTGCTGACAATATCCGCGTCTGCGCCACCGTTTGCTGTTACAATACTTCCCAGGTAAGTAAACTCTTTTACATTCTCGACATGTTTGATTCCTACATTGAATGGAGTGTTGTTGTTTGTGTTAATGCGCATTGACTTTGTTTTGTCGATGTTTATGCTTAATCCTACTTTCTCTGCTTCTGTTTTTAGACGTCTGAGCATCACTTCCATGTCTTTGAAGGATTGCGTTGTGAGACAGATATCATCAGCATAATCAAGATCCGTCAGGTGCGATGTCAGAGTCCATTGTACTCCCCTAATATTTGCTGTGGCTTTAGTCAAAACGCTGTCGAGCACGATATTAAATAGAAGCGGCGATAATGTGCAACCCTGCTTTACTCCTGTCCCTAAGTTAAAACTGTCGCTGGTTCTACCGTTGTGCAGCACATTGCATTCTGTGTTTCTGTAGAGTTCCTTGATTATATTGATTAGTTCCAATCCAAATCAAACACCTTTTTCTTTTAGAGTTTTCCATACCATCGCATGGGGGATACTGTCAAAAGCTTTGACGAAATGTATGAATAATAAGAATAAAGGTGACCTAAATTCTATTGACTGCTCTATGATAATGCGCAATGTGTTAATATGGTCAATGCACGAGTGGTTCGGTCGGAAACCAGCTTGGTTCTCTCTGAGAGTTTAGAGAGGTCTCTCTATAGGAGTTTAATCTTAAATGAACTATAGAGGATATTATCTTTTGAATGGTGTTTAACAAAACAATACCTCTCCAGTTGTCACAGTTAGTGATATCTCCTTTTTTAGGGAGTTTAATAATGAGACCCTGTTTCCATTCATCTGGGATGATGTTAGATACCCAAGCTCTTGTAATTAGAGGATGCAGTATGTCTGCTGCTGTGCTAGTATATGCTTTGAGGAGGTCTGCAGGGACGCTGTTTGGGCCGGCTGCTTTATTGTTCTTAAGTGTTTTAATAGCTTTTTGTATTTCTGTTTTCGTTGGCGTGTCGCAGTTGATAGGCATTTCGATTGTTGGCTCCGGTTCCTCGTTGTCGAAATTTTGTTCACTTATTGGTCCAAGCAGGTTGCTGAAGTGTTCTTTCCATCTGTCAAGCTGTTCTTCAGAGGATGTTAGTGGTCTGCCGTCTTTGCTTTTAATAACTGTATTGAAGTTACTACGTTGTCCACTCAGGTGTTTTGTTATTTTGTACAGTTCCCTCATATTGCGTTGTTCTGCGGCTTTTTGTGCCTCGTTTGCTAGTTGTTCATGCCAAGCTCGTTTGTCCTTTCTGGCTAATCTCTTAACTGCTCTATTCGATACTTGATATTGTTGTCGTAAAGTAGTTTTGGTCTCGTGAGTTCAACTCACGAAACTCATGAAAATCAAGCTTAACACTAATTTACCATGATCACAGAAAACATAGTATATGTCATCTGTGATTGTGGTACGTCCTTATTATTCTGGATATGTTTCTACCTTAGAGAACAATAGTATTTGATTTCTGACAATACACACCTTGAAAAAAATAATCAGGAAAATAAAAACTGGTAGAAATATATTTGATATCAATTAAACTTTTAGTTACGTAATCGAGGGCGAGATTTTTAAATTCATTGTTGCCAACCATGGACATATTCAGTGCCGTGCTGACTAACTGGAATTTGAAAATTAAAATTTTTTCGCGCTGGTGATTCAGGTGGTAGCTCTGCTGTAAAAAATGTCAAGTTGCCGCATTTATTTATGTATTTTCGGACATTGTTATTCTTATTTGACACTTTAGTTTTGTATTACGAGTTTTTGGTTTAAATAAATAGTGTTGTGATACTTCAAGCTTTAGCTACTCATAGCGGTAAAAATTCATCGCAATGTAAATCATAGCTGTTTATATATTTATAGTTAATTTATTTTTGTTTCCTAAAATATTTTGATTAAAAGAAAATATTTAAAAGTGGGCGACGCTGTGCCGGTCAAGCTTAATCACGTGACTAAAAGTTTATTTGGTATGAACTGTAGATATTTAGTCCTTTGTGATGTTCTAAGCAGTAATGCAGATCTTAATATTTTTTTGATTATCGTGGTTATGAGTACAAACTCTTTCTATCCAGATTTCTAAATATTTATTACTTTTTATACTCTCCACTTTCCATATTTTGTATGATTATATTCGATATAGTCACATTATGTTCATTTGGTGACTATTATTAATCTAGTCTAAATAAAATATATTTTTAATTCAAATTTGTCATATTGACATGGAACATGGAGATGATCTAGGATACATTGTATTTAAAATTACAATCTTTGTAAATCTCCATAATTCCCGTAGTGTTCTTCTCTAGTTCTTTGCGAAATCAAAATTGTGTACAAACTACTATTAACTTCTTCAAGATTTCTGTTTTCTTTTGTTACAAGTGTCAATCTTACGAGACAAATATGTCAGTTACGAGACAAATGTGTCTCATAAGATCGATGGTTCGATAATCTAAGTATAGTTTATTGTATCTATTTTCCAAGTAATTATATAAAAAGTTGTCAGTAACTACTCTTTAGATATTTTTTTACTTGTGCAGATGATATAGAAGAAGTTCGATCAACAGCTATCTGCAGCGATTCATAATGTGGAAGGTGTGTGTATTGCATTACTGAATTTTAGTATTTTAGTATGTATATGTTATCGTTTTTAAAAACATTTTTCAAGGTCACTTCGCAATACAAAATTCTAGTATTATATGTATATTATCCATGTCTTGGTTCTTTTTTTTCTCAATATTAAGAGGCCGTCCTGTGCTGGAAACACTGCGACCTGTAAGGCCTGTTGTGTTTGTCCCCTTTCTATGTATGCACCCACTTTCCTATTCCTGTACCCTGCACGAACTTATGCTCCGATTCTAGACTTGTTTTCACATATAGAAAGTGTCGCTTGCAACCAACCTCTGTGCTCCGCTGTTTCAAGATCTTTAACGCAGAGTCTGCAGCAAAGAAGTCCTTGATAGAGGTTGAGCTGTCTCTTTAGTTTTCCTAACATATCCTCAAAAATTACTAATCAGATCAGCGTTTCTTTCAAGGCTGTAGACAATGTTTCAATTTTCAATTGAAAGTAAGCTACACAACTACGATGCTTTGGATAGTTATACCACTGTTATGTTATCAACTATACACTAAACCTGAGCATCTTAAGTTTTTATCCAATTTATACAGAAGCGATTTAAGTGTCAAAAACCAATTTTCCGGTAGATTATGTCACAAAGACTCCTGTATTGGTGTCCTTTAAAAAAGATTTTCAAGATGTTGGACCGTTAATACTGGAAATATTATCATTGTTCTGAATAAAAACAGTTTCACTAAATTTTCATTTCTAGTAGTAGACAACTTTAATCTCTGTCCATTGATTAACTTTTATGTTTTTGTCTATTGACTAATTTTAATATTATATTGTCTCTCTATATCGGAGAATATCTGTCTTTATTCATTATTCGGAACTTCTTGGAAAATGCACTACATTTTATGCATTTTTTCTAATATCATCATCATAATTTTCAAATTATTCGACCATTTACAATTAAGATATAGCCTTCCTCATATATTTAGATACTTTCTTTGTAGTTGGGCTCACTTTTGTCTGTTGTTGGCTATCCAGGTCCAAGTTTTCCCTGCTAATTTTCTAATATCATGGTCCCATCTCAAGTACGGTCTTCTTCTAGGTCTCTTAATCCTCACGGGTACCATGCTATAATTTTTGTGGTCCATCTGCTGTCCGTGCTTGCCAGGTATCCTGTCCATTGCCACTTGGGGGATTTGATTCTGTGGATGACATCTATTACCTGGGTCTTTGTCGTATCCACTCTATTCTCTTAAGGTATCTCTTGGTTATTCCCAGCAGATTTCGTTTCATTGAGCATTGTGCAACCTGCAGTTTCCTTTTTTTGCTAAAATATCGACTATATTTTCACTCACGTCTAAATATTTTAAAAATTCTTAAACTGACGTACTAAAATAAAACAAATGCTCTAGAGTAGAGGTGTCAAACTTGTGAAACATATTATCTTTAATTATTCTTTTAAAATGAAAGGTTAGGTTATTATCTACTTGTTAATGTGTGGTCTACGTGAATATTTGGCACATCTGCTCTAGATGAGTTAAATTTAATTATTATTAATTAATTTATATTTTCTATGTAAAGACAGTGTTCAATAATCAATTCACAAACCCGAAAAAGTCGGTCACCCATTTCTGTTATGATGTCTTTGAAAAAGACTAAACAAACTAACGCCATATTTTTGTTATATTAGTAACAACTATAGACAGTGCGGTAGAGTGGAACCAGTACGTGCCTGCATCTTACAGCTCACTTCACTCTATTCCGAACAAACATCAATATGAAGGAAATCTTAAAAAAACTTAAAGCCCAAGACAAATACAAAGAAAACGCCATGCCACGAAGCAATGATCAAGAATTCTTGAGAAATCAAGAAATGATATAGCAATTGTGCAAGGCTTCTTTTTTTCGTATTTCGAAGTTTACTCTAAGATCAGGTACGTAAAAGTTCCACCGTTTATTAAAATATAAGAAAATTAAGCACCCTAACAATAATACTAATTCGTATGCCAGCAGATATACATGGTTCTTTCAAAATAACAATATAAATTAAACAAATTATTAACAATTTTTTATTATCGGACAATAACTGAGAATCATTACCAATTATAGAGAAAAACAATATAAACAAATAACAGTAATATTGATTTTTTTTAATGAATAAACAAATTTATGTAAAAACTAATCTTACTGAAATACCTTCTCGTCTTTTGAAAAAAGAAGCATTGCTATGTTCGATGGATGAGTTTTTTGATAGGTTTTTATTTTGTGACAGAAGAAAAACATGGAACACCGTCTACTTACTTTGACATAATGACTACGTTTACACCGCCCGATTTTTCGTCTCTTTGGGCGATTAATTGGGCCTGAAACAGAAAAACAAGACATTAGAATTTAAATTAGACAAACACCTTTGTCCACTTGATTTAAATTATTTTAATCATTGATTTAAATAGAAAAAAATCAACTTGTTTAAAAACTTATGATAAATCGAAAGATACCTGTAAACATTATAAAAACTTTTCCTATAAAGCTATAAAAAAGTATTCCTATATCAAATATACCCGACATCGTCATCTACAGTTAAGTTACATTTGCTGTTGTAACGTTTAAATACTTATAGATCGAAAAATAATTATAAAAGGTCTAACATATAACACATATCCCTAATATATATTTATCTATTAAAATGTTGGACCGATTTTTGAAATTATTTCATGTGAATCCATTACACTTCTAAATGGCAGTGATTTATTTTGAAATTGTGAAGTGCCAGAATCCAGAATCCGGTATTCGAATACATTTCATTCGCAAACTCTAGTGCAGGACTGGTTTCTTCTGATGTCAGGTTTGGTTATATTTTTTTTATTCCCGAGCAGTAGCGTGTCGTGGATAAAAGGGAGGAGGGGGTGAAGACCTTAAGGGGCGCAATGATTATAATATAATATATAAAGGATCAAATAAATTACAAACTTTTTTTATATAATAGACTACATGAAAACTTTTTTTTTAATTATAAATTTGTTTATTAAAAAATTTAGTATACAACAAGTTATTTCAAACATGCAAGCGTCTTGTTTTAACCGATTTAAAAGAATCAATCATTTCGTCTATATTTAGATCCTGGGCTGTGTCTGCTTCAACACTGAGAAGTGATAAATAATTGGTTCTATCTTGTGTGCTGGTGCACCTCTGATAATTATTAATTCTTCCTAATCTACTGAAAGATCGTTCTGCACCAGCACTGTTGGTGGCTATAGTGTAAAAAATCCTCAGTAATGCACATAGAGATGGATATGAAGACTCTAGGTCATTGGAAATTAAAAGTGATAAATATTCGTCGGGTGCAAGTTTGTTGTCATCAGCATTAATTTCTTCTAAGAAACTGCAAAAATATTTTTATTCCTCAACTAAAGAATAATCCATAACAATCTATAAGACATTATAAATTGTCCTCATTGACGTCCATATCCCAATAAACAATTAAATTTTTGGCATATATTTAGGAAGTCTTCAAAACGAAGTTAAAATGTCTAAAGTACCATAAAACACTGATATCTTGAAATTATCTTCAGAATTTTGATGTAGGTAATCATTCTGGATTTCATCATAATTTTTTTCATTCTTCTTTGTCTTTTTGTGGAAAATGATGTTGACGTATTGCATTTATTTGCCAAAATAGTAGCCTGTTTTTTTTTAAATTTTCAAAATATTTTTCACTTCTTAATGATTTGAGATCTACAGTTACGGCAGTAATCATATGAGCATCTGTACATAAATTGATATTAACCTTTTGTAAGTGATTGGAGATTATATTAATTTTATTCAGCAATTCATTATAATCGATTATATTTCGGTTGGTGATTCCCCGAATTTACTTCTATTGCGACTGCTTTCCTCTTCTTCTTTGGCGGCGCCGGCGCAATGTTATGTCTAGCCATTGTATTTTTATTTATAGACAATGGTCTAGCGGTAGTTTCAAGTTTTAAACCCATATGAAAACTTTCGTACGTATTATACGCCTACTTCATTAGAGATTTAAATTATTACAAGCACTATGCAAGCATTATGTTATCTGTGATACAAGTAAACATTAAAAAACAAAAATAAAATGTGAGAAATATATACGTCATTTTTTGCCTTGAAGAGCTAAGGGTACGGTAGGGTACCGTTTGTTTTTGCGTTAAATTTAGTTTATCTATTTCTTTTTCAAAGGGCGCCAGGGGCGCCAAGCGCTTAGTTGCGGAGAGGGCATTCGCCCCCCCCCCCGGCCCCCTGGCCCCCTATACGACACGCCACTGTTCCCGAGGACTAATCAATGTCAAAAGATAAGCTAGAGTCAAGGCTGTTTTATACCTTTTTTGAAACAGCTCAATGTTGATCAAGCTAACTTCCGTCTTCCCTAACCAAATTAACTTTTTTCAATTATTAATTTTTTTCAAAATTCGATCTCTTTTTTTGAACATTTATTTAAATGTCAAAAGCAAAAGCCAAGAACAATCGACAACCCTGTAAGTATATTACAGATATTAATTCTACAATTTATTTATAATCCATTGGTTGTGTATATTGTGCAATGAGCTTTACTGAAATATGCATTTTATTTTTTTGCCTGCCACATAAATCCAGGTAATATATATTTTCGCTAATTTACTGGGTTGATTTATATCAATATTTCGGCCCACCTATATTTCGCTTGATTATAGAAAGCCAAAAGCTCGAGCATATGATTAGTCATCGTTTAGTAGGTTTGACTTTTAAGCCTAGAATAGGATAGGTTAAATAATGGACTATCACTCAGAGTAATAAAAAGTTCGTAATATTTAAGATTGTACCATCGAAAAAATAATTCATTTATCTCATAATTTTCGTATTTTTTGGTTTTAAAAATCAACACAAACACAACGATAAATTTTAGTGACATTTTGTAGAAAACTTACGATAACTTATTTCGATATGTCTTTTTACTGATCTGAGGAACTTCCGTACATAATTTTTAATTTTAGAGAGAGAGATATTAGTTTATCATATATAAGGATAATCATTGTAAATTTTGGTAAAACCTAAGTAAATATTTAGTTATAAAATTAAAGATACACATAACTATATGTATTACGTAAGAATTTGTCATAAAAACAATTGGATGATTCAAACAACATTACAAAAGGACTGAGATATATTTATCCACATATTTTATAGTTTAATCATATTATATGAATTGACATTTGTATAAAATTTACAAACATAGTGTCAGTTATAAAATTAGTTTTAGTGAAAATTTCTAGAATTAAAATATGCTGTAAACATTGCTTTAGTTGACGCTCTTTTAGTAACTTTTATACATGATTGTATTTGACATAATGCTTCGTTTCTATTGCATCAGGAGCTTTTGCACTAGGTAGTGTACACTTTTTATGTGTTGATTTATTACACAAATTTTTTTAATAAATAGCAAAACTATGATTTTCAAAGTACTAAAATTAAAAAAAAAGTTTTTTCTTTAGATAGAGCAGCATTCTAGATTTAAATATGATTGGGTTTCTTCCATAAGTACTTTATGCTAACTTAATTTTTTTGTTGACTTCTGGTGGTAGAGATCCTAAGTAGAACAAGTATCGTCCATAAAGTATCTAGGAGCCCTAGTTAACGACGCTTACGACCCCAAAACTGAAATTTTAGCGACGATCGAACAGGCCAGACGTACTTTTGCTTCCATGAAAACCCTCTTCTCCAGCCGAGAACTGCGCATACGTATGCTGCGTTGCTACATCTTTCCAGTATTTCTCTACGGCTCTGAGAGTTGGACACTCAATCAGACACTGGAAAACCGCATTAACGCTTTTGAGATGTACTTGTATCGCCGTATGCTGCGTGTATCTTGGATGGTTAGAGTGACAAACGAGGAGGTACTCAGGCGGATGGGCAAAGATAAAGAGCTCCTATCAACATTGAAGGAAAGGAAGTTACAGCACGTCAGTCACATCATGAGGGTTGATTGATACGAGGTGCTCAGACTGGTCATCGAGGGCAAAATTGAGGGCAGGAGATCAGTGGGAAGAAGGCAAAACTCCTGGCTTAAGGACCTGCGTCGTTGGTTCGGAAGAACATCGATCGAAATTTTCAGAGGTGCGGTTTCACGCACCATCATAGCCAGTTGGATCGCCAACCTCCCAAGGGAGACGGCGGCCTAAGAAGAAGAAGAAGAAGAGATCCTAAGCTTTTGTATTGGTTGTCCCAAATATATATATTCTTCTACTCTTTCCAGTATTGTGTTATTTGTTAGAACGCCTTTTCTTCAGACTAGTTTGTTGTACATTAATTTAGTTTTTGCTAAATTCATTTTAAGAGCCACTTTATTGCTGGCTGTATTTAGTTTATTAATTTGGACTTGTAGTTCTTCAGGACTATTAGATGGTTAAGATATTCTCCATCTATATTTAATCCTTAGCTGGTCTAGTCCAGTTGACGGAAGATTTCTTCTAATGTTGCTGTAAACAGCTTTGGGGATATCGCGTCTCCCCAGGAATTTGAGGTTGTGTGATATATCATTACTCTTCATTTGGCTTCTTTTTATATATTGGCGAGAGTTTCTATATGAGGCCTGTCAATACCTTGTTTCGCTAGGGCTTCTATTATTATTCTTAAGATTTATCGAGTCGAAGACCTTCCCAAAGTCTATAAAGGCCATGGCTAGTGGAAGTTCGTATTCTTTTGTTCGGCTGATAGTTTTTATAGTGTAAGTATGTGATCAATCGTGCTAAAGCCGCTTCTAAAGCCTGCTTGTTGTCGTGGTTTGAAGCGTCTAGCATGTTTTGTATTCTGTTGTTTATTATTTTTGTGAATATTTTGTATGTAACTAAATGGTAGTAGGCTATAGTTTCTGATGTCTTCTTCGCTGCCTTTCTTATGAATTAGAATTATATTGGCGCTATTCCAATCTTGTGGTATTTATGTACATGTAATAAAAAATAATGTTCACATACATACAAGAGAAAGTTTGTAGGAATGTAATAATAAGTTTGTTTCAATACAAGTTGTTTCTATTTATGCGGTGCATGTTTTCAAGGAATGTAACCCCCGCGTAATTCGGGAGACTCCTGTATTTCAATTTTAACACAAAAAATCGATTTCATTTGGACTTTTTGAAAAACACGGTATAAAATAACATTTTATTTTTGACATTTTTACAAAATAGAAACAGGAAATGGTGAAGTGGACAGTCGGCAAACGCCTGTAGCCGTCGCCTCGTATCCTAGATGAAAATACGAAAATTAGACGGAAAACAGAAATATAAATAGAACGAAAATCGGGGTCGACTACTTCGATTTATCGTGTTGATATCTGAAATGTGGGTTTTTCGTGAAAA